TTTAGCTAAACTCTCAGTAATACCTCTACAGTCTCACTAGTACATGTTTGAGTAGTGTGAGCCTGTTACACAGGGTTATTTTATTTGAAAAAAAAAAATATCTCTACAGTTTTCCCCCAGGAAATTGGTAAACTGAGGAGGTTAACTGGACTAACCGGTTTCCTTGTTACCAGGTACTAATTTTAACATTAACATTAAAGATAAAAGATAAGTGAGTGTAATGGCTATTTCCTCTCTTTTGTTAAACACAGGAGGTGTTCACTGAGATGGAAGAGAAGTATGGTGAGGTAGAGGAGATGAACGTGTGTGATAACTTGGGCGACCACCTGGTCGGTAATGTCTACGTTAAGGTTGGTGATTGATTTTTTTTTTTTTTATGGTCACTTTTGCTGTTGTTTAGATCATTTGACAATATTTAGGTTTCTGCGTAGAAGCATTAAGTCCAATAAGTTATAACTCTTGTTATCTAAAGTTGTGTATAAGTATGTGTAACTACTGTACATAGTTTCGCCATGAAGAGGATGCAGAGAAAGCCGTCATGGACCTGAACAACCGCTGGTTCAATGGTCAACCTATCCACGCAGAGCTCTCCCCGGTCACTGACTTCAGGGAAGCTTGCTGCCGCCAGTATGAAATGGGGTGAGTACCACCCGGTGACCTGAAGGAGCACTGGAAACAGGCCTGTTGAAATAGGAGTCTAAATTTGCTCCAGAACATATCCTGCAGTGGAGAGCTGTTGTCTATAGGGTTTTTCCACTATAGGAACCTACTGAAATGTGTTGTGCTTGACAAGTTTTCCAGGGTTTTTACTTCAAACATTTCCCAAACTTACCACAGGGGATGAAGGAATAACTCCGTTTCTTCTACTTTTGTCTTTTTTATTGAAGCTTTCCTCAGTAGCACGAAGCAGAATCAAAACAGGTTGATAACCTTACAAAAAGGAAAGTGAGGAAGAAAAATGCAATGTAACATTATATTATTGCTACCAACATTATGGGCTCTTTAATCCCACATTGATGTTGCAGGTTTAACTTAAATTTAAGAGAAATTTAAGAGCGTCACGTACAAATAGCAGGTTTAACTTAAATTTAAGAGAAATACAGCGTCACGTACAAATGACTCCACATGGCTAACTTACATAACACAAAGTAGGAACATCGTTACTTTGCATAAGACGACAGAACTGCATAGCTAATTAGCATACCATACTGAACACAGCAATAAAACACTTTCTGTTTTACATAAGATCAGTTTACATACCCGTGGCATCCCTATGATTAGCCACACTGATGAAGTATCCCCTCCTTATTCCAACTGAACCTAAACAAACATTTCCACAGTTTCAACTGAACTTCAGCACGCACCTCTCCTTACGTCTGCATCTACAGTCAGATCACCTACGCTGCACATACATTTTTCTCTCCGTCTAACCCGGAAACCGTACTCGGGTAGTCGCCCCTCCTTCCTATCAGTGTTACTTAGCAACCACTCTCCTTCTTCTCAATTACTGTTAATATATTCCCCCTTTTTTCTTGTAATTTTACATTTTGTTTCTCCCATTATAGACTAACAATACATTGTCCCAAGTCCAACTTTACAGTGCTGAAAAACACTCATCATGGTTTTTGTGTTTGCTTCCGGTACACTCAACCCACTTTGGAGGTGCCTTCTAGGACCTAAATTTCAACACTCCTTGGGCAGTAGTACTAAAATCAAACACTGGGACCACAAGGGGGAGAGGGTGTGTGCACACATAGCATTTGCTGGTGATTGGTTAAATGTCTGCATCTTTACACCTGAAGCATTAGCATTACAAACTGTGTAAACACACAGCTGACCGCGTGTGTTAGAGGGGAACAGTCCCTCCCTGCTGAGAAAATGCAGTGGAAAAACAAAGCAGAGCGGCCTGTGTCAACCCTGGAGGTTGTGCTTGATGATTGATGGTTAAGGGAAGTACAGGGTGTACCGCTTATTAGTTTCCGATATTTGAAATGCAGCACAAGGCTCCTGTGGACCAAATCCACTTCTTGGAATAAACTCCAGGTTTGCACTTATTTAATTGAAATCTATTTGGGAATATGCACCTCAGACGCACATTAACAGCTGACATAAGGTCATAGAGCATAAAACATGGTACAAAGTGTACACAGTGGGATGAATGTGGGGTAACTGGCTTGTGCTTTTCCCTGAGAATTCCTGGCAAGTAAAGTAGTATAATTAATAGTAGTAGCTACAAGGCTGTGTCAGCAGCTAGATCAGCCTTCACTGTTGACTGTGATAAGCTTGCAGGTGTCCTTCAGCATGGCTCTGAAACCATGCCAGTAATGTAGTCATTGTGTGCTTTACCATACTTTCTTTTAAATGCAAAGACTAACTTTGTCCTTGCACGGTGGAAGGAAAATGCGAGTCCCTCAGTTCTATTGGATCAGGGCATGTTTTCTCTGCCAGTGATATGACGATCAGATGTTCTGCCTCGCATCCTGGCACACGCCTCATGTCTAAGATGACTTTTCCCTAGTGACACTACCAAATAAAAGGCCATGGAGTTTTAAGTCTTTGTTTGTTTTCCTGCAGAGAGTGCACTCGAGGAGGCTTCTGTAACTTCATGCACCTGAAACCCATATCTCGGGAACTTCGAAGGGAGTTGTATGGCCGCCGCAGGAAAAGGTACAGAAATCTGGGAAGTGAACAAGTGGTATTTGAGGATCAAATAGTTTGTAAATCAGTCTTGTCTCCCACAAGGCACCGCTCTCGCTCGCGTTCCAGAGAGCGGCGCTCCCGCTCCAGGGATCGACGACGAGACCGCGAGAGGCGGAGGTCGAGGGATCGAGAACGTTCTGGAAGATTCTGAAGGAGGCCAAGACTGAACCAGTGTCCTACTAAATCCCTCCCCCACGACCCCAGCAGTGATGACAGTTATTTCCTTTTTGGTGAATTGTTGAAAGTGTTTTTCTTTTATTCGCTTTTTTTAAGACGAGCTTGTGTTGCTTTCTCAATAAAACAGATTTGTAACTCTGCACTGGCACTGCCTGCTTAAATGAACAGTTTATTTTTTCATGTCATGCCTCTTTGATTTGCCACGGAACTTGATGAGCTTGATGTTGTTTCTATGCAGGTATGGAGAAATGCAAACAAACGTGGTTACTTGAGGTTGTGCAGATCTGAATTATAGGAAATTTTTAATATGTTCTTAGTTTCTAAGTGGTGTATAAATTTGTGAAGCAGGTTCATATCTAATGTTTAAGCATACCTAACTTCAGATCTATTAGGGTGAATATGCCTGTTTGAAATATTTTACATGGTTGCATCAGCTACTCTATTATGCTGATGTCATTTGCTACCAAACATAGGTGCCTATTATTTTTCAAATGGTCAGTGAACCCAACTTAAAGCTCTTTTGTGGTCTAGTTCTCACTCTCAGGTGTAGGTTTTAATATAGCTCTGATCTTGATTCATACCTTTTAAACATCTTGCCTAGTGAAATGTAATTTTTCTTGTTACACATTTCTGTAGTAGTAAATGATGCAATGTTACACAAAGCTTACTCAGCAAATTTCCCAAATGCCCACAGTTTTTTCTTAGGTGGAAGTGACAATATCAGCATTTCTTGACTAATTTGCTTAAAATTGCTATGTTAAAACCAGAAATATATTTATATTCACAGTTGCCGTCCCTGGTAGGCTAGTGTTTAATAAGGCGCAGCGCTCTCGCCACTGAGCCCCGGGTTCGAATCAGGGTTGCGTCAGGAAGGGTATCCGGCGTAAAGCACGTGCCAAATGTCAACATTCGAGTCTCAGTGTGACCGTTCGCTGTGGCGACCCCTAAAACGGGAAAAGCCGAAAGTGACTTTCTTATTATATTTGTATTCATATGTAAGTATCAGCAAATTGTACTGGAAATATAAAAAGCTAAAAAAAAATATTAATTAAGGAGCAGGATGGCTCCTGCACTGACAATGGCTATCAATAGATTACTGTATACGTTTTATTATGATGGTCAAGAGAGCTAATTTTAACTGTTGTATACTGTTGGAAAGATTAGTCTGGAACTGCTGCTGTAATAAAATAGTTAACTCAAATAACAGTACTGTACGAGCTAAGCTGCAGGTTATATCATTTAGTTTCTTAAAGATAGTTCGGTGCGCTCTAATTGAGATGCATCTAGTTTGTGTGCATCTATGTTGAATGGTTCTATGCGATAGAGGGCGGGGTAAAGGGGGGTGAAGCCCCGGGGTTTGTAGCGGAAAAGGCAGAAGGTGGCTAGTTTTTGTATGTAGCAGTAGAGGCACACGGTTTCTTACCGTGTCCTGTGTTGTACTATATATATTTTTTCGTATGTAACTCAATAAAGTCTATTAAAACGTAAGACGAGCCCTTCGAAGTGGAATGAATATATACAGTACCAACGGCACGCGTAAGCCGCCTCTACAAGTACTTAACATGTACTTTGTCACAGCCCCCTGGTGTACTCGTAAAAGTACAGCACGTTAGCCCAGGTTTTAGGTGTCTAATTTATCAACAAAAACAATGTAGGGACAAGCGCATTACATAGCAGTGCTAATTGCACACGTACAGAATACGACACAGACCGGAAGGTAAATGTGATTTAACCTTGCATAAATAGTCACTGGATAAGTAAGAACAAAATAAGCAGTAAAAACAATAAAACCTGCCCAAGACAAAAGATGTTGGTACTCCACCTTAATTGATTCTTTACACATAAAATGCGTGGTTATGTTGTAGAAAATACTAAAGGTATGGAAAAAATCCATAACTCATTCAACAATAACATCCAAACTATATTTAAACTACATAACTATTTAAAACGTTATCAACCTTTCGGGAACAAGCGGAACGTCTCATGCACCAATCTCGCTGTACCCCGTGTCTGGTCAATAGAAGGTAAACACAACCAGAAATGGGGATTCCCTGTTCTGATTGGTGGAGGGCATCAGACGCATGCCCCCGACGTAACCAATCAGAGGGCGTCTTCAAGCTTTGCCCACATCCTCCCCATTTGGTTCTTCCTGCGGTCGCTATAACCTAAGTCTTTGTTGGGAATCGTCCCTCACTCAGCCATATCGTTGGAGTCCTCTCTGAGTTTTCATACATTTCTGTGGGCATTTAAATCACCAGGTGAGTGGGAATAGAGGAGCAGAGGAACGTTAATTTGAAAAAAAAAAATGTTATATTGAAACACTCGGCATTTGGCATTTGGCACCCGAAAGCGTTATACACGCTGGTCTGACGCAACGTTTTAACTGCGTAGTTCAACTGAGTACCTATTGGATATTAGCTAGCTGATTTGTTTTGTCTTATGGTCTTACAATAAATAATTTTCCGTTAATTGTCACCGTCATTTAGATAGACCTAACTATATAATGTTTTTTGCCATTCACTAAGTCAATGCTCAGTGATTGTTTTTTATTTAGCTGCATTTTATTTTAGGACGTTGTGGTAATAATCAACAATTTGAGGCAACTAAAATTGATTTCTAATCCATATTTCTTTCCGTTAGTTAATTGGTTGGTCACTACAACATCGGTAAACGGTGAAAATCTCTCACCCTAGAGCATAAAGTAATATCATCAAATGTCTTTTTTTTGTCTGGTTAAGAGGCTAAAATTGGGAATTTATAATAAATCAAGATAAAATCAGCAAATTCTCATATTTACGTGAACATCTTTTTAAAGTGTTTAGCGATCATACAAATGGTTGCTTTTACTGAACTAAGCGATAGATTGTTCAAGATCTGTTGTCTCTTGGATTAATCATTAGATACTTTTCCTGTCGTGGTGACTTGCATGCAAGTTAAATGGCCATCGTTATTTGGCTTCCTCATCATGTTCATGGTGGATTTTCAGGTCCCTGCAGTTTGTGACCGGCGTTCCTGCTGTTCACATATGGCCCAGAATTTTGTTATAGCTGAGTGCTTTTCTATAGTCTGTGTGCACAGGATCCTGTGGTTGGGTTTGGTGGTGACAAAACAATTCTGAAAAACCCTGCCAGTTTTATTTTTATAAAGGTGATATAAGGTGCTGCTGCACAGTAATTATTAGCATTTGAGAGCAATGAACACGTGAAAGGAAAATGATAAGATCTGATATTTCAGGGATTTTTCATAAATTGGGTTGATGTCTGACTCGGGTCAGTTGATGTTTACTCTCTGTCTTCAGTCTTGTGACATATTAAATAGACATAGAGGTTCCTCTTGCAAGTTTAGCTTTTCGTCTGCCAGCCACTTTGGGCTTGGTGTCGTGTGCTTTCAGGAGGATTGAGTTGCCCTGCTGAATACTGTGAGGTCATCACACACTACCTGCTCTTTCCCACATTTACCACAGTAGTTGAAGTGTGTAACCTTAGTAGCAGTGGCAGAGATCTGATACCAAGAATTTGATGTGTGCAGGAAAGGAGGGGGGTTAACAGCTATGGTTTACCACTTTAACTGTGAAAATCTACAGTGATGAAAGTTAAGCAGAGATTTTTTTGCATAAGAAGATGTATTTGCTTCACAGTGAGGAATGGTTTTTGAACTCATAGTGGAGTTGTGTTGGGTTTGTGCACTATGCATTAGCAAAGGTTCATGTGCTGCTGGAGGGTGGAGAAGCCTGATAGGTGGTTTAACAAGCTGAACAAGACTTTTTGTTTGTTGTTGCTTTATGTTTTCATCTGTAGGGCTGGATGTGTTTCTTTTGCACTTGCTGCAGATGATTTTTCTGATAAATCAGTTAACCACTTGGCTATTTAGCTCTTAGGAAATTTCCACCACAGTTTACAAGGGGATGTTATCAAATAGCTTGTTATGTCTGATCAGCAGTTCAAAACCCAGATATACAGTTTCCAATCCCATAAAGAACTGAACATCTGAACCCAGGTTTAACATCTTGTTATATGTGTGACTTCTGCTCTTAATTCTGGAACCGTAACTCAGCGCAGACCATTTACCATCTCTCTTTGTTCTGTAGGCAGTGAATGATGCAATATTAAGGAAACCGTCATCAGTGAGTTATCGGCATGTTTCCTGTAACCCCAGTTTTGTTTTCTCATGTAGCTGTGACGACAGCAGAATCCATTTGAATGAACTGTTTGCTCATCATGACTATATTATATGTTAAGTGCTGAGTATGGGCGGGGACAGCAGAGTTCACTGCCTAAGCTCCTGGTCAAGCATGACAAAGCATTACTTGTGTTGGGATGACAGCATCCTTTCCCCCCTGCTTTTAGATGGTAATATAATAATGTAGTTATAAGTTTAAAAGAAGTTTTGATTCTGCCTTTCAGTTCACACAGTGGCATCTTTTTCGTTTTCTTAATCAAATTTGGTTTTAAGCAGGCGACAGACTGTATGTAGTATGCTCTTACATGGAGGCTTTCACAAATACTAAATATCCCCTATTTATTCTGTGTGTTCCAGGTAAACCATGCCTTCATTTCCCTCATCCAAAGAGACCCTTGTCAAGGGGCCTGGATGCCCTCATGCTGCCAATCTGAACAACCACACCAATGATGAAACCAGACATCAGGAGGGTACGTTCCCGCTCAACAGCGTTGACAATCTGCCCGCACTGGGGGACACCGATGAGCTGAATGGAACCATTCAGATCAGCACAAAGAACGCTTCTCCTGAGAGGACATGGATCCGACCTGATCTTCCCAGCCGCTGCACATGGAGCCTGGGAGTCTCGAAAGCTGACTCTCCTCACACAACATTTCCAAGGTCAGTCTGATGCTCACGTTTCCACTGCACACAAGAAATGGTTTTATCTGCTGTTAGAAGTTTTTGCTTGACCAATGAACCCTGAAATTTTTTGTTCAAACTATCAAAAAACAGTCTAAGGGAGCTCCTGGAGAGAGGTGACATACAAACACCTCATTAAAAGACTCCCCAAACCAGTAACACAAGTGTTATTATGTCACAATAGGGACAGCAAAGAAAACCATTTTAAGTACAATAGAGTCGTTACATTTACTGGCAGCGTGTTTCTGCATGTCTTTGCTGAAACATGTTCTCCACTCTCTCCTCCCAGAGCGACCACTCCAGCCATTCTCCCAAACATCCTTTACAGGATCGGGGACACTCCCATGGTACGCATCAACAAGATCCCGAAAGCATTTGGACTTAAATGTGAAATATGTGAGTCTCCCAGCGCTCAAGCACACATTGACAGCTCAAACAGAAGTTGTGACTGTTGGTTACATTTGTCTCATTGCCACCATGTAAACATGCGAGTGGAGGGGTGGGATGTTGTGTGTTTTGTTTTGACTTAGATTATGAATGGAACAAATTAAGTCATTTCAGAGTTATCCATATCATTTCAGCTGTCTGAGTTATCTTTCTGTTGCATGTTTGTAGTGGCCAAGTGTGAGTTCTTCAATGCGGGTGGCAGTGTGAAGGACAGAATCAGCCTGCGCATGGTGGAGGACGCTGAGAGAGCTGGCATCCTCAAGCCTGGAGACACTATTATAGAGCCCACCTCTGGAAACACTGGTGAGTAAGTGCAAGCTAATTGTTTGTGCTCATGGAGCGGGGTTAATGAGTAGAGCAGCAGTGTTGTAAAACATACTCATGTGTGTATGTGTTTTCTTGCTTTTAGGTATCGGGCTGGCCCTGGCTGCAGCCGTGAAAGGCTACCGCTGCATTATAGTCATGCCCGAGAAAATGAGCATGGAGAAGGTGGGTTCTCTGTCATAGTGAAACTATCACTTTGTTCTAAGATCAGAGGTCACATTGTTTGTCATATGCACAGTGAGGAAACGTGTTTCCCTGTACAAGGAAATTCTTACTCTGCCAAACAATACAAGTGAAATATAAAGACAATAAGTAGGTAACACAAAATCTAAGGCACTTTAAAGCAGCAAGTGAAGGGCGCAAATAAAAATACAACAAGAACACAATATAATGCAGATAGAATATATGCTACGTGGGAACCGTGGAGTGGAAATACTCAGCAGTGAGTGTGCAATTATGCATGTGCAAACTGAGTATGTAAACAGTACAGATGGAATTACATGAGGTAGACCCTGAGTCAGCTGTTTAGGAGTCTGATGGCAGAGGGAAAGAAAGAGTTTTTCAGTCTAGAGCAGGAAGATACCAATTCACTTTATCTTTCCTCGCTCCACTTTCACCTAAGATGGTATCTTCCAGCTTCTGACTAGCTGAACACACCTGAGCCAGGTAATCAGCAGCAGGTCAGGCAGGGATAGTTGGAAAACAAACAGGACAGCGGCCCTTGAGGACTGGAATTGGCCACCCCTGGTCTAGAGGTCCTGCATTTCACACTTCTGAGCCTCTGACCGGAGGGTGGGGGTATAAATAGTCTGTGCTGGGGGTGGGTGGGGTTTTTGAGGATGGTGGCAGTTTTCCTGTGGACTCTGCGGTGGTAGAAGCTGTGCAGGACGGCAGTGGGGTCATGGTGATCTTCTCCGCAGTCTTTACCACTCTCTGCAGGCGCTTGCGGTCCATAGCAGTAGTGCTGTCATACCAGGGGCACACTTAGACTGTTTTTTTTTTTAAATAGTTCATCATGTCCTAACCACTTCTTTTAACTGCAGACTAGAAATTCCCTGAATGAGAGGTGAATGATGGCAAGCAGCATCTGATTTGATCTGACACTGGATTAATCTCTTAGCCTGACTTTTTAAAAAACTTTTAAGTCCTTTTAATGTAAAGGAATCAGGCACACATATTGTGCAGGTTCTTGGTAGATGATGTTGCACATCTGGAGCTACCTATTGCCTGTCTGGCAGCACATTGGGTATGTGTAATATCAGAGATACATATCTTGGTCCCTGCTAAAATCCCAGGATAGTTCACTTCCAAAATATACCTATACTTTAGCTGGTCTGACTGACCAAAAATATTATGTTACAGTTTAACAGCCAGAATTTGCAACAAGATGTCAAACAGTCAATTTTGTCTTTGCAGGTGGATGTCTTAAGAGCTCTTGGAGCTGAGATTGTTCGCACACCCACAAGTGCTCGTTTTGATTCGCCAGAGTCCCATGTGGGCGTGGCCTGGCGCCTCAAAAATGAGATCCCAGACTCGCACATCCTGGATCAATATCGCAACCCTAGCAATCCCCTGGCTCACTATGATGCCACAGCTGAAGAGATCCTGGAGCAGTGTGACGGTACAGACATCTCTGACTTGTACTCATGAAGTGTTGCTTATGTCTTCTGTATTTACCTTAATGTAATGCTCAGGTTTTGCTGCCTCTCTCCAAGTATGTTTTGATTAATAGAGTGAACCTAAATTTTCCATCTTTCATAACCCATCCCTTCCTAACAGGTAAACTGGACATGCTAGTTGCGGGAGCAGGCACAGGGGGCACCATCACTGGCGTTGCCCGCAAACTAAAGGAAAGATGCCCCAACATCAAAGTAAGTTGTCTTTGTCCAGAAGTCAGCTGGGATAAATCTCTGTCCTCTAAGATTAGGTTTCTGAGTCTGAAAGCAGTCATGACTGAAAGGAAATGAATTAACTGTCTGAGGGGTATGTGCACTGTGCAGATTGTTGGCGTTGACCCAGAAGGCTCCATCCTGGCTGTGCCAGAGGAGCTTAACAAGACCGATAAGACTCAGTATGAGGTGGAGGGCATCGGTTATGACTTCATCCCCACCGTGCTCGACAGATCAGTGAGCTCCAGAGGCTTTTTTCAGTGCTGTTTTTATTGATATTTTATTGTTTTCATTTAAATTAATATTTAATGTATTAATATTTTTTAGGTAATTGATACCTGGCACAAATCTAATGATGAGGAGTCCTTAAAGATGTCTCGTATGCTAATCAGAGAAGAAGGCCTGCTGTGTGGTAGGTGCTCAGGTTCCTGCTAACACGCACACGGGGTGTGTCTGGGTGAATTTGCATAGTTGTGTCTCATTGTGTGAGAGAAAGCCAGTTGCTTATTGCTCTTTTCTTTAACAGGAGGAAGTTCTGGGTCGGCCATGGCTGCAGCCATGCACGCTGCCCAAGACCTTAAGGAGGGCCAGCGCTGTGTGGTCATCCTGCCCGACTCCATCCGCAACTACATGTGAGAATCCCCACCTCAGACCACAGACATTCTGAACTTCAGGTTCAAATGGAGTTTGATTGGATTTTTCACTATAGAGACTTATTACCATTTTGAGTGATTTAAATGTTTTGTTTGGTTTTTTTTTGTTCTCCCATGTGGTCTCATCACTGTGACAGGTTTTATGGATCCGAGCATCTCAGAAAATAAATAAATGGTAGAACAATGTTAAATCAGTCAGACTAGATGGCACCAGAATACAGACAGTACAATGTTTGAGGTCACTCTAGGCTGCCTTGGGCCTCGGATGATGGCAAATATAAGTATATTTGTTGTTTACAGTAAATACACAGGGAAATTTGTATTTCTCACTCTCAAGGTCCAAGTTCCTGAGTGACAAGTGGATGGTCCAGAAGGGCTTCATCACAGAGGAGGACCTCATGGTGAAGAAACCATGGTAACGAAAGGGTTTATTCTCTTCTTCTGCAACCCTTCTCTGTTTGTGGTCATATAAAAACCCTCTCATGTCCCTCTGTCCACCAGGTGGTGGAACCTGAAGTTGCAGGGTCTGAACCTGTCAGCCCCCTTCACCGTCCTGCCAACCATCACCTGTCAGCAGACCATTAAGATCCTCAAAGAGAAGGGCTTTGATCAGGCGCCTGTGGTGGACGAGACTGGGTGGGTCTCATGCCATGGAAAAGATGAACTTTTTAATGTGAAATACTGCGTGTCTGAGTTTAAAATAATCCATCTTGATAATGTTTAAATAGTTTCTGCATTGAAGTACAACTCAACGCTTTGCACGGCTACAACTTTAATCTCTGTACTTGTGTGCAGGTTAATCCTGGGCATGGTGACTCTGGGAAACATGCTGTCCTCTATTCTGGCAGGGAAGATCCAGCTATCAGACCCAGTTAGCAAAGTGCTCTACAAGCAATTCAAACAGGTCAGACATTAGCTAAGACATTTCTGTGTGAATCTAGCATTTTAAGAAATATTACATTTTAATAATGAATTAATGTAATTTTAATCATTTATAGGCCACAGGTTGAATTTGTTAAGTTAATTCCAATGAGGCAAACCAGTTCAGTGGTGGAGCTCTAGGTGAAAAGGCTGGAAACCAGCTGGACTAGAGAGATTTTAGCAAGTCATGTTGTGAAACAAGACCAGGTTCAGCTGTGATTTGTTTACTGGAGCTGGTACAAAAGTTAAGAATGTGTTCTCAAGTTTTATGGCATCGTGAGTGAGTCCATCTGACCCCAGATGAAGAACTGGCCTTCAGTACTTTAAGACTGAAGTCATCACTTTACTTATGAAAAGATTTCTATCTCCTGACAATATAAATATTTACTTTGTTACAAATTTGTTTCACATTTAAAGCTTACCTAATAAATAATGCATCCCTTGTGCAAGTGTTACTTTGATAACTTAATACATTGATTGTTGAATTGACTGACTTTTTATCCTTCTTTCTCTCTCAACCTTCTCTCCCTTTCACCTTCAGATCCGTCTGACTGATACCTTAGGACAGTTATCCTGCATTCTGGAGACTGACCACTTTGCCCTGGTGGTACATGAGCAGATCCAATGTAAGTACAGCATCAGATTAATAAACATGTCTGTGCACACACACTTTTTTGGTTTGTATGTTTTTTGTTTGCCTGAGCACTCATCTTCAGTCTTCTGAGCAAAACTCCTTGTGTAGAATTAAAAAGGTCCATTTTGGTAGTATGAATGTGGTCTCATTGTGTATGTACAGATTGGTGCAAAAAATCATTAACCAACCAAGACATGATCTGTTAAAGTTGGATGTTCAATTTATGACACATGCCACAAATCAGTGCACATGCATGGTCAGTAAAGGACACACTACTGTTACCACTGATTATTCATCTCTGATTCATGAGAGTCAAAGTCCAGTTGAAGTGAAAGCATCCCAAAAAGAAATGGGTTTTGATCAATGTTGCCCAGTGAAGTTAAGTCTGGAAGAGATGTAATTTGGCAGAAAACAAAGCCCACTGCTGGTTTTTGTGCATGTTTTGTGTAGCGTCATACACCCAAGCTTGAGTTGTTTACTTGGGTAAAAGAGAGGAGAATTAGAAAGTAGAAATTGTTTCAAGATATAGTAGTTGCATAATAAACTTGTATAGAAGGAGCTTCCCTTCCTACAGCACAACCAAATGTTTTTCCTCAGGATTGTTTAGTTTTTATACAAACAAAACATCTTCAGAACAATTTCATAGTTTTAATTGTGTAAAAATTCAACAGTTAATAACATAGGTTATTGAATTTCTGGACCAGTGATTTTTGTGTTTAAAGTTTCATTGAGATCCGGCCTCTTTTGACACCTTTATTATTATTA